TATATATATATATATATATATATATATATATATATATATATATATATATATATATATATATATATATTACAAATATAATATTTATTATTATATTTATTTTTTTACTTTATAGTTAATAGTTTTTAAATTTGTCGATTATTGATTACTGATATTTTATATGTTTATTTTTAAATTTTAATAATATAAATTGATATATTTTAATAAATTAATTTAATATAATTTTTTTAATATTAAGATGATATACATTAATATTTTTGGATAAATTTAGTAGATGGGCTCCCAACGTGATCAATAAAGGTTTGAAAACCTAGTAATGCCATCGCCTCAAAATTCTCACTCGCATTCCACGTTTTAATTATGTTATTTTTAACCCTCTTTAAAAATAACATAATTGTTACTACAAACTTTAATATGTCAAAAAATATTTCTTTTATTTATTATTAACCTCCATATGATGAGCATAAGTTAACATCTACTAAGAATCACCAACAGTTGATAATTTTAAAATTAAAATTATTAAAAACCCTTCGGATATTAACTATAACATATATATATATATATTTATTTATTTATATACATATGTAATTTTTAAATTTAGAGAGACAAATATTTACTTATTTAATTTTGTAAAAAAATACTTACAGAAAAATGTTCAGATTTACCTACGTGGCAGTAATTAAGGGGGCAAGAACCAATGTGTAGCAGTAGCCAAGACGCGGCGGCTTCGGCTCATGACACGACATGAGATCCACCTTAGCCACAAAATCCAACCCGCCGCAGAGCTCGCTCGCTCCCTCGTTCTCTATATCCCCTCCGCCCACCTGAACCCGCACCGCTCCCTCGACGCCGCCACGGTCTATTACCTCTCTTACGCCGCCGCTCTGGGTGGGTGCTTCCCTCCCCCCAGATAATGGCGTGCGCGCTTTCCACTCCAATCCTTCGCCTCGAGGTGAGCCGCTGCCACTTACACTGAGCTGCGCTTAGTTTCTTAATTGCCTTCGGAAAAGATGCATCTTTTACGGGTTTATTTTCTCATCTTAGGCGACTTCTTCTCGGAGGGCATCGTGCGGCACGAGGCTGGAAATCTGTCGAGGTAGTTCCCTGAAACCCCCTTTTTGGATGCACTAGAAAGTTGGTTTCTTGCCTTCTTTCTGCACTCGACGTGGGTTCTCTTTTGTTCTTTTTCTCAAATTAAGGCTATGGTTTGGGAAATCTTAGGGTTTGTTACCGAGAAATTGCAAATTCTTCGGTCAATGCATTCTGTTGATACAGAGATTCCGTTTTTCTTGTCCTGGTTAGTAAAAAGATTATCACCCATCAAAAAAGTATTTTATGCAATTAACTCTACATTTTTACATCGATTGAGCCCCACTTCCCTTTATCTTAACTCATGAAGATTCGGTACAACATTCAGAAAAGACAACCAAAAGCGAGACCTCAAACATGAACCGGTTACTCCTGTCTATACGAATGCAAAATGTTATTTCTTTTTTGTTCATATCCCTTATCTCAGGTTTTGGTTGCAAGTTGATGTAGAATTTTCTTGCCTTAGGCCATCGTATCAACTATTTATTGCTCTAAATGATTAATAGCATAGTTTGCATTTAGATTGCCTGCAAAGGACATAGGCGTGACACTTTGTTGGATTTGTCGCATTATAGACAAGAAAATCTTGGGCTTTGTTCAGTCATTCAAGTATTTGGAACTTCAACAAAATTTGGCTTCATCATTTTGTTGGTTGGCATTGCCGTAGTGGCTTGGTACCAAGTTTGCCTGTGTTGCGTGGAAATTAGTGATTTCTTTGGAGCTTGAGAGGAGTGCCATTAGGATTTTACCTGAAATCTTCAGCAAAATTTTCATGTTTTTGCAGACTCTTTCTTTCCTAGTCAGTGTTGGTTGAAATTATTCCTCCAACCATGTAAAAAATCTTGGTTTGAGATGCATTGGGTTTTCCATTATACATAGAAGATTATTTAGGATGCCCCTAACCTTCATATACATAAACCCATGAGGAAAGGTTTAGTCAAGCTCATTTGATTATCATACCCTTTACAATTATTAGTCATGATTAACAGATAGATTAGAAACTATGTTATGTTGTTGTTCCATGCCGTAACCCTTCTAGACCAATTGAAAAATCTGAGATGGGCTTTAGATACACTGATCTAAGTATGCTTATCCATCTAGCCTTCATAGTTGAGAGAGTCAAGAACTTTGCAGGTTTATCGCCTTCAAGAACTATTTTCTTTTCTTTTAAATTGCTTCAAAAATTAACTATGAACTTAAGCAGCTTTTATTTCTTGTTATTAGTTATTATACATCTTCTAAGAAATAAGCTTAGTAGCTCATGTCATGTATGATAATATGATATCTTTATAATTTTAAGTTTGAAATGTAATGTATCCATCGGTTACCTGGCATATAAAAGGAAAAGAAAATGAACATTTGAATATGAGAACCAATCAGTTTGTATTTGTTATAACTTGATGCATTTGGCAAGGTTTAGACTTCTTAGGAGCGAGAAGGAAATACCCCTGTCAAATTCTATCCTACAAAAATCCATCTTATGTGGTTCGGGCCATGGTGTTGCCCGCTTCACGCCCAATTCTAGATAATGAGGAGGAAAGAAAGCAGATGTCTGAAAGATATGGCTTTACACAAATTGGGGAACCACTTCCAGATAACATTATGCTGAAAGATATCATGGATACACTGCCTAAAATGGTGCTGAATCAATTTCTCAGGTTTTTCTTTTAGTTGATTATGTATAGTATGACTACTTATCAGAAGTTTTATTGAAGCTATTTGAAATCGATGACATGAAAGCATGGAGGTCAATTTTGATATCGGTGACTTCCTATGCATTGGGGATTTTGATGATTGCAAAAGCCCCATGGTATTTACTTCCTCTAGCTTGGGCTTGGACTGGCACGGCAGTGACAGGGGTTAGTTTCTTTGTCTCCTTGATATGCTTTCATATCTGTTTTCTGTTGAATGTTGCTACTAAAATCTTGTGATATTCATTTTCTTTCCTTGATTTTTCCACCTTTCTAACACTTCTCTTTTGAAGTTTTTTGTGATAGGCCATGACTGCGCTCACAAGTCATTTTCAAGGAATAAATTGGTTGAAGACATCGTGGGAACCCTAGCATTTTTACCCCTAGTATACCCATTTGAGCCTTGGCGGTTTAAGCATGATAGGCATCATGCTAAAACAAACATGTCTGTTTCTTGTGACCTTTTCAAAATTCTTTTCCTTGTATTTACTCTTTTAAATGCACATACTTGTTGAAGATCACAAGGTCTCCAAGCAATATAATCTAGCTTACTATCCATGCACAATCTTTTTTGTTTCCAGGATCTTTCTAATGCAATAATCCTGTTTCTTGTATTGGAGAATATACTTTTCCTGATTGGAATTTCACTTTAACACAGTATTCATTTCATATCAAAATTATTTGGACTAAGAATGAAAAAAAAGGTTCTCTGCTTTCACAATTTTCTTGGTTGAGATATTTTTGCAAGTAAACAACACATGCGCAAAAAAGGTAATTTTCAAAGTTCTGCTTGATCTTTTAATGGTTGTCCCTAAAATATCAGGTTGTCAGAAGATACTGCTTGGCACCCTGTATGGCCAGAGGAGTTCAACTCCTCCCCTCTTCTGAGGAAGGCAATAATATTTGGTTATGGACCATTCAGGCCTTGGATGTCAATAGCTCATTGGTATGTCAGCTGTAGACTCAAATAATGTTAATTTAGACTACATTCATTGGCAAGTTTCCACAAAATTATCCAGCTTCCTGATAGTTTGATGCTAATTTTTCCCAAAATTAACAAGCATCTAATAGGTTGATTTGGCACTTCGATTTGAAAAAGTTCAGACCTTCTGAAGTTGGAAGGGTGAAGATCAGTTTAGCATGTGTATTTGCGTTTATGGCTATTGGATGGCCATTGATTGTCTATAAGGCAGGGATCATAGGATGGATCAAGTTTTGGCTCATGCCGTGGCTGGGATATCACTTTTGGGTACTATTCACTTCATTACTTTTCTTTTTTTCTTTTTATATAGCCAATAATTTTGTCTCCATTATGTTGTATACCTTGGAATACGAGATTAACCATGGTCGCTTCATTTATTTTTTCTTTTTTTCTTTTTATATTGGCAATAATTTTGTCTGCATCACATTGTATATCTTGGAATAAGATGATAACCATGGTCACTTGGGAAAAATTTTGTTATTTTACACTCCACACTCCAATTTTTTTTTAAATTTAGTTTCTTCTGAAATTTGCCTAGATGAGCACCTTTACAATGGTCCATCATACTGCTCCTCATATACCATTCAAAACATCAGAAGAGTGGAATGCTGCTCAGGCACAACTTAACGGCACAGTTCACTGTAACTATCCTCGTTGGTATGTCATCAACTATTCAGCTTTTTTTCTCCTCACTCACGTTATTGGATTTTCAGCTTTGCTTAAATTATTTCCTGTTGTACTGTGGAACTTCTCCCGATAAAAATCTTTGAGAATTAGGAAAATGTGACATTTATATATGCTATCTATACAAAGGCCATACAATCACAGAATTAATCTGTTTATGAAGTTGCATAGTATTGGATTATCACAGGTGTTGCCTTTGATTCACTCATGATTAGTTCGTAGTGCCCCAGAAAACTGAGACAAGTATATCCTACATGAAAATCTTTGTAACTGTGCGTGTTGCAAGTATATCCTACAAAAATTTATATCAAGGCTAGAGCTCTCCAGTTTCTCGTGTTGCAGGGCTGCTGAGTTAATAGTTTTTGTAACTGTGCGTGTTTGTGTATATAAACATCTGATATCTATTGGCAGGATTGAGATCCTATGTCATGATATCAATGTGCATATTCCGCATCATATTTCTTCTAGGATACCAAGTTACAACCTCCGGGCAGCTCATAAGTCACTCCAAGAAAATTGGGGAAAGGTGTGTTAGGACTTTTTTTTTTTTAATTTCATGCACTATTATTATTGAAAAATATTACCTTTAAGCATTCTCATTACTTTTGTCGAATTTTAATCAACAGTATCTCACTGAAGCCAACTGGAATTGGCGTCTGATGAAGACAATAATGACTACGTGCCATGTATATGACAAGGAGCGATATTATGTGCCATTCGATGACATTGCTCCTGAAAATGAGTCGTACCCAATCAAATTCCTCCAAAAAGCCATGCCTGACTATGCATGATACTTAGATGCTGCTTTTGGATCCTCTCATCTCTTTGTCATCCAAGCAGCAGCAAGATGCAAGACACGATTGTTTGGTATGCTCAAATTTATTACATTTTTCTACGGAAGATATACTTGTGAAATTTTGACTTCAAATTAGTTGTTCAAACTTACTTGTCTCGGTTCTCTGCAGTATATACAGCTCTTTACATAAGATTTTGTTATGGATGGTTGCCATCAGAATGACATTCATTGAAATTGGTTATTTGCTTGTTAATTGTGCTGAGTTGTGATGGCCAAGTGTGCTAAGCGTAATGTTCAAGGTGTGTGAAGTGATTTTCAGGAAACTGCAAGACTGTTTTCCATAATTCAGCTTCATTCATTCCTACACCATGTTGCCCTTTGATATATGGAGAATCTTAGCTCGATGATGTCAAAGCTGAAAAGTTTACGGGATGCTGTTTCCGTCGGCTCGTGCATGAGGTTCCAACCAATGCAAAGTCGTAGAACTAGCGGTTTTAGTAAATGAGTACCTTCTGTTGCACCTTCTGTTTCTGCATCAGTATATTTCACTTGATTCTAATGTTTGATAAACTAAACCAGGATAATGTCATGTGTTGGATCTCGGATATCATATGGCAACTCTCTGACCCTCGAGTCGTCCTTGTTTTGAGTTCAATCTGCAGGAGGGTTGATTGTCTGAGCACCACCACCCTTAAAGACAGTGTGTTTATGGTGTCTTGGATCCTATTAACACTTGTAAATATTCTTTGCAACATTGAAATATAAGTTGCATGGCATATTTGATTGAGACTTGGGTGTTGGAAATCTCATATAAATTTTTTACATCTAAAACATTGATTTAATAAGACTTAATTGTTCATCTCTCTAACAAATAAAGATAGGATTTTCATGTCCTTAATTTGCAATGATATCCTTTAAAAAAAAATCAAAACATTATTTTATTAAAAGTTTACCAAATTTAGATTACAGAAAGTAATCTTGTGGTCGGATCAAATATAATATTTTTCTTATGATTGAAATGAAAAGAAAGAATTTTTGGGTATGAATAAGGGAAACAAACAAACAAACATTGCAACGTTTCCAATACACAGCGTGGTAGAAAAAAAAAAAGATCATCAGGTCTTCAGTAGATTTCTAAAGACGAAATCTATTTCCTTTCACGGTCGCTTCATTTGGCCAAGTTGTTGGACCGGACCCGTCGGTTCGCTTGGGTCGCTTATGCAATCCAGTTTAGTTCTCGGGTTTACGTCGATTTCTAATTGAACCGGATTGTTGTGGTGGTGCAACTCCGATACGAGTTGTATTATATATAATTATATATATATATGTAGTAGTATCGACAATATACCACACAAAATTTGTCACCAACTTGTTTCACTCCTTCGATCGAGAAAGGAAAGGGCACGCAACCCTAGCGATGGAGTTCCGGCGGAAGAAGCTCCAAATCGTCGTACGATCTCCCGATCTCGGCCTTCCCGCTAGATGCATAACCCTCGCCCCTGATCTCACCCTCCGCGGTCTCAAGCTCGCATTCCTCCCAGGAATTCTCCTCCGACAACCGCTCGCCTTCGAATCCCTCTATTTCGATCTGGCGGAAGGCCGCTCACGGACTCCTCCACCCTTACCGACGCCGGTATCGCTGCCGGATCATCCGCCCTTCTCACCCTTCGCCTCCGCCTCCGCGGCGGCGGCGGCGATGGCGGGGCTACCGGCGCCGAGTCCCGCGACTGCTACCTCAACATGTATGCCACCAAGAAGCCCGACAAGGTGGACCCCAATGAGACCCGGCTGTCCAAGTGGACAACATGTGCGCTCTCCGGCGAGCCCCTCGCCCCACCCGTTGTCGTCGACCGTCTCGGCAATCTGTTCAACAAGGAGGCGCTCGTCGAGGCCCTAATCCATAAGAATATCCCCAAGGAGTTCAGTCATATTAGGGGATTGAAGGACATGATCCCGATCCATTTGTCTCTGAATCCTGGTGCCGCTAATTCCGAGACGAGGTTCGAGTGCCCGATGACGGGTCTTGAGTTCAATGGGAAATATGGATTCTTGGTGCTTCGTGGCTGTGGGCATGTTTTGAGTGTGAAGGCCCTCAAAGAAGTCAAATCTTCTGCTTGCTTGGTTTGCCATAAAGAGTTCTCGGAGTCAGATAAGCTTGTCATCAATGGGAGCATGGAGGAAGTTGCAGTGCTGAGAGAGAGGATGGATGGGGAGAGGGGTAAATTGAAGGAGAGGAAGGAAAAGAAGGCTAGTGCACACCTAAGTGGCGCCAAGCATGCTGGCGACGAGAATGATGGGATCTTGGATAATGGGAGAAAGGTTGGAGGAGCGAAAAGGTTCAAGGCCATGGATATGGTTCCTGCCAATGCCACAAAAGAAGTTTATGCATCAATTTTTACATCTTCGAAGAAATCAGACTTCAAGGAGACTTTTTCTTGCAGGTCGCTTCCACTAGGCAGGAACTGATTCTAGAAATGACAGATGGTTTCTTCAATTCGAAAGGGTATTTCCTGTATCATACTGTATGGTTCTTCTGTAATATTCCAGCTGCTGCTTCATCCATTTAGGTTCTAGTGACTTCCCATATACCCGATGCTTATGACTAATTCATGTAATGATGAATTGTATGCCACATCACCTTCTTCGTGCTAGCCCTCAAATTGCATCCTTGATGTTTGGGCCTCTTAAATAGAATTTTAACTTGTATCAGCATGCATATGCTTTGGAATCGAATGGAAGTTTTGATTATGTGCTTTTTTTTTTTCCTTTCACATACATGGGTTATCAACTTACTAGAAGCACATGTTTACGTATTTATCTTTCGTAACTGTGATGCTCGAGAAGTTCATGTTGAACTATCGGTTTTATTTTATTTACCTTAAATTATATATTTTAAACATAACTCAACCAAGTTTCGATAGTTAACTAAATTAAAAAGGTCTATCTGTTCTATTGGAACCATGTCTGGTGGACATTTGGTCTTTTCAGGTGTTTGAACATTAGTTTTCAATATGACTGCATACCTATACCTGTTTTTTATGGTTTTGATCATGATACTGGGAAACTATTTTAAAATCTGGGAATAGGATTAGCTTATGCATTATGTTACTAATTTCTGAAGATTGATTGGAAGCCTCCTGTTCTAGATGAACTACCATAAAATACTGGCATGACTTTTACAATATTCCAATTAAGTTGGATATTCTTGTTTCCTTTACTCTTGTGATAACTATGCAGGATTTATTTTAATACAAATATGGAGATTAAATTGTTAATGTTGGAAATTGACCTTGTAGCCAGATTATATGTCTCTGCTTTCTGATGATCTAAGAGATTTCTCATGAAGACTTATAAGGTATGATACTCGAGAAAATACTAAAATGATTTATATTCTTTTTGAAGATTGTAATCGGATCTTCATATTTCTTGATGTCGATTTGATCTCACTTCGTTCTGTATGGAACTCAATCTTTGGTATTAATGTGTGCTGGCTTGAATATTTATTGAGGATTTGTTGTTTCTTTATTATAAGATCAATTCAGAGGGATGGATTTTGGAATTATAAGTTCATATATATATATATATATATATATATATATATATTTATTTATTTATTTATATATATCAGTTATTTTCCTCTGTACTAGAATGAATTTTAAATCCAAACTATGGCAAAAAAAAGTTGGTGTAGGCATGAGTTGGCTTTCTGCTGTGGAAGAATGGTTTTTCTATTGTTGTGTCTGTACGTGTGTGTTTTGGCTCTATAACTTGAATTGAGAGGTTTTACTATCTCACCCATGGAGAGTCTGATGGGACAACATCTGGTTATGAGAAGTCCTGGTTGGGTTATTTTTGTGGTAATTGAAATTTCTCTTTTTTTTAATATCTGCAAGTTTTTTATTGGTTTAGGTTTACTATAGGAAGAGATATGGTTCATGAGTTCAACTGGTAAGATTACAAATGAAATCATACTCTAGTCTAATACTTTGTTCTCATGAAACGTGGTCTGTTAAAGTGCATGTGGCTGATACTTGGTTTATGTGGAGAGACACTTTTGGAGCAAAGTGTTTTGACACTCTCTGGTGGAACATAGTAAATGCTCGCCATCACTTCTTTAACCATATGACATTCTTCCTCTGGAAGGTGGCTTGTTTCCATCAACCTTTGAGCTTTTTGGAAGCATAAACAACTCTTCAGTAAGATCTTGTTAGTTCAAGTAACTTGGTGCAATTGAATTTGTAAATGCTCCCCTTCCATATTGTTTTATGATGTCATTCATTTTTATTTGCTTGAAAATAAGACATTATAGTTGGAGTATTTTTATTTGTTGTCTTCCTATAAAAGTTAATTATGTGGATTCCTAGGGTAGACCTCTGGACTTTATGATGGTGCCTCATTTAAGTTCATTTATTTTGGTATCCAAAACCAACTTTAATCAATTGATGGTAGCTTACACTGCAGAGCAGGTTACATCACTAATTAGAAGAAGGGTTAGAAGGGTAAGGTTGCATACATTGACCCTTTCCAAACTTCACATCACTAGGAACATTATGCATTGGGCCATCTTGTTTTATTTATGTGAAGTTACATAAAATAATCTCTTACTTAAATACTTATTCTACTCAAGTAAAGATATTCGTAGGAGTCTCTTCTAGTCTGCTGATCTGCTTTCTGAAGTTGTGGATTCCACATGCTGCTACCACTGGTTGATTTACCAATTATTATTTTATGTTATGGATACTGTCCGCTTGGTTTATTTTCCCATTATTATTCGTTCCTCTCTGATACTAAACATTTCTTCTTTCTCCTTTCCCCATGAATGCAAAAGTCAATTGTTTATTTTCTTAATTCTTTTCTCTTTACGAATCATCCCTCCTATCCCTAACACCTAGAATCTTTCAATTTTTATTGCCTCTTCAGATCTTCCAACATTGACTCTCTTTTCCCTTTCCACATCTCAAATTGTAGTTTGATGTTTCTGCTTTAGAGATATGACAGAAAAGAATGAACTTTGAGAAGAAAATTGACAGGGGTCAACATGTGGTTCATTAACAAACCTAATATGTGTGCTTTGATTGAAACTTGAAACATCACCAAACTTGTTGCTGATTAGATTTTCTTTCTTTATTTTTTGTGGGTGTCGAAATTATTGCTCTATTTATGATTGCTTGTGTGTACATCTGATCAAGTGTTTAGTCATGAATGTGACACAACACATCAAGGAGGCAAGAGGGTTTTGGGTCAGATGTATAC